GGATTTTACTTGGCTTATTCACTTGAAAGGCAATGTACAGTGGAATATTGGTAATGGTCAGATGGTGGATTTTTGGGTGGATCCATTCTTAGCAGGTCAGTCACTTTCAGATTTGCATGATAATGATATTCAGGAGGATTTGGGGGCTACTACAAGGAGGAGGGTTTCAGACTTTATCCGAGGTTCACCTTAGTCTTGGGTTCTGCCACATCCCACATTTGATTTTTTGAGAAATATATGGAGGGAGGTTGAGAATTATACTCTTCCTCTACAGCCCAAAAAGGATTCACTGGTCTAGATTCACTCTGCTGATGGCCTATTTTCTATTAAAGGGGCATGTTATTAGGCGTCAAGGTTCATCACAACCTATTTTCCGTGCACTTTGGTCCTCTAAATGCCATCCACGGGCGAAATGGTTCTTATGGTTGGCCTTGCATAATCGATTGCCCACCTCATTTTTATTGTAGCAGCGGGGTATGCAACTGGACTCTTTATGTCCCTTTTGTAGCAACCATGATGACAACCTTGTCCATCTATTATTCCAATGTGCTTTTGCACAGGGTGTATGGGGATCAATAGCTTGGAGATGTGGAAAACGGTTTTTCCTCTGTACATCTGTCCTTGATTTACTTAGCTGGTGGTTACTTTTTAGGTTTAAATCACATGGACTTCGTAATATTTGGTCGTCCATCTCTGTTACTACTATTTGGTTTCTATGGGAAGAGCGCAACAAAAGAGTCTTTGAGTCAAGACCCACTAGGAGAGAGCTTATTGTGAAACGGATTATCTTACATGTTTAGGCACTAGCAGAAGTTAAAAAGTGGTATTTCCATTTATCAAACAAGGTCATAATTGGTAATCTTCCGACAACTTGCTAGCAGCAGAGGTCAGAATCTCTTATTTTGGTGGCGTGGTCTTTTTCTTACTCTAAGAATTACAAGTTCAATAATGATGGTGCTTCCTTGAGCAATCCAGGTTTAGCAGGTGGTGGTGCAGTCATCAAGAACATAGAGGGCGGTTTCATTGTTGCTTTTGCAAAGCATTATGGTTTTGCTTCTAATAACCATGCAGAATTTTTGACACTTGTGAAAGGAATTCAATTGGTTCACCAAAGGAATTGCTTTCCAATACAGGTAGAAAGTGATTTGGCCTTGCTTGTGAATGTCATTTAAAATCGATGAAGTGCTCCATGGCGGTTAAAGACGATTGCAGATAATTGCTGCACTTAAAGACGATTTCAGATAATTGGTGCACCAGACTTTCTTCTCATCGATAGTCTATTACACATGTTTTTCGGGAGGCAAACATGGTTGCTGATACCCTCGCTAGCAGGACATCTGCTGACCTCGGTGCTTATGTGTAGTACCATAGACCACCAGATTTTCTTTCCTCTCTTTTATTATATGATCTGACGCAATTGCCTTACTATAGGGTTGTACGTTAATTATTTTTCTCTACTCTTTTATTAATGGAAAAACAGGTAGGGGGCCTTCTCCCCCACTGAGTTACCCAAAAAAAAGAACACTTGCGTGGAGATGTTGGACTTCACCATCAGCTAAGGAATGTTGATGATGCCGTTGCAAAAACTTGAGACGAGATTTTTTTCCCACCCGGGGAGTATGATGCAAGTCGCATATGAGACGTTTTTTTATTTAGAAATTAGTTTTCAAGGATTTGGGTAGATTTATTTATTAGTATTTAGGGTGGGTGTTCAATTTTTATTTATTAGGATTAACTTAAATTTTAGATTTCTTTATTAGTTAGTTTCCTATTTTGTGGTGAACCTGTATATGGGAGTAGATCACGTGGGATTCTATGGGGTCCTATTTTCAGGGAGGAAATCAAATGGGTTACATGGGAAATAAGGATGGGTAGGATGTTGGGTCTTGTATGGGATGTGCGCGGGTGAGAGAAAAACCTACAAAGAAAAATATGGGATAAGGAAAGGAGGTACTTGGGCTTAAAAGAAGGATCTTAGAATGTGGATCTAAGACATGGGATAAAGATGGGAAAGAGATCCTAAAATTGAGGATTTAAGGAAAGTGGTTAACGTGAGGGGGAATATCCCTACATTCTTGGGATGGAGTTATGGGATGAGTCAAGGATATCAAGAGAGAAGGGAAGAGAGGTTCACGTGGTGGAGAGAGAGGGAGAGAGAGAAATTCACATGGTGGAGAGAGAGGGAGAGAGAGAAATTCACATGGAGAGAGAGGGAGAGAGTTATCCTTTTTTCCTATTTTAGTTTTTTTTTTTTTTGATTTTTTGTTTTTTGAAGTTTGCATTAAAAGAGGGGGACATCCCCATAGAGACTAGGACTGGAATATTTTTTATAGAGAGTTTGTTTAGGAATGAAGAAAGATAGCTTCTTCTTCTCCATGACTTGATTTACAGCTATATTTTCCCCTTCAGTATTATTGAATTTTTGTTTGTTTAAGATTGAAAGAAGGCCGGATTTAATTTCTCGGACTCCTTTTGCATCAGTTTCTATGCAGAGCCAAAGTAATAGCTAGTGCATTTTTTTGCTTTGTCTTAGCAAATGCTTAACGGCGGTTACATGACTTCCCTCTTCTAAGTTGTACATCTAGTGTATGGTCCTTTACTTCAGTGAAGGCAGATGCTTTTGAGACATTAATTCAAAGGTCACCAGCTTGTGGTTAACCAGTCTTGCTACTACTATTTCACTTGTATTACCTTGGTAACTCACGTGACACTATTCTTAGTTGCTACATGTCCCATTTCATTCCTTTAACAGGCCTCTTGAACCAGGCCTCCTGAACCCGGCCTGGTATGGGGAACTATGGTTCTGTTGGCATTGGATTCCAGCATTTGATATGGCATATCCTTGAAGATCTATTGGTTCAGTCTACCATCATTGGAGGTGGCAGTGGGATTGCACATCAGGCTCTTTGCCACCAGTTTGCTTGACCTCGGATTGATGAGGGGGAGCCCTCAATTTCATTGGTTTCATACGGGGCTTAAGAGTTCCTGGCTAGATTTTCCCAGTGCTTTGGCATATGCATTATATTTTCTCAAATTATGGTCCATAATTTTATGGATTTGAAAACTCAGTGGAATATGTATATATTTCAATCTGGGATTACATTCTGGCTGATATAATGAAAAATCGTGGTTGCGCTCTTTGTGATATGAGTCTGGAGTTCAGTTCCAGTCTTGCTGACTCTGAGCCTTGCTGATGAGCTGTTGCCCCTTTCCTTTCAGTACAGTTGTTCCTCACATGAAAAGGCAATAATTACATTGGATTGTGCTCAATTTCATATGTGCATTTCTTTCAGCAAGTAGTCGTAATCTTATTTCAGCACTTGTGTTTATGCTGCTTGTCGTTCAATGTAGTTGTTCAACATAGTGCATGACGGGTTTCTGATACTTCCATAGTGTAGTTCTGTGAGTTCATTTATCCATCACTGGCTCTGGTCGAGAAATGGAGTAGGTTTGTGCTGGTCAGGATAACAGATCTAACAATGTGCTCACTTTTCTTGTGAATGCAAGAGAGATGACTTGCATGCAATAGTATCTTGTGTGTGTATACTTGAAGATGACTATAGATGCTGTGTGGGTGGAAAATGTGTGAAGAAGCTGCATTACTGGTCAACACCTGTCTATGCATTACTTGTTGAATGTGAACTTGTATGCATGAAGTTCATGATGCCAGAAATACACAATTGAAATGAAGCACACCATGTCCACTTAATCTTGTGCTTGTGAGATCAAGTCCATATATATTGGATGTTTAGATTCATTTGCCTTCTGGGTCCTTTGAGGAACACATGGTAGGAACTGGAGAAACTATAAAAATATCAAAGTAAAGAACCCTGGCTTTCATAAATCTTGAAATCTGCTCAGACCCTTAAGAGTCATTGCTTTGACAGATTGATCTTTTTGTAGGGAGTACAAGATACAGAATAGAAATGAATCAGCTATTTGTGGCAGATTGCTTGTGAAGCTTCATGGTGAAGGTGATGCCTTTGAGTATCTTGAGAAAGTACTCTGTAACCACCATGAGTAATGCAAAGATACTAGTGAACATTGAGATGTCTAACTAATCAAAGTGTGAAGTATTTGGGGTTTGTTTGGGTCGTCTTTAAGTTTTTATTATAGTAGTGCTGTAACAAGTGCCAATATATTTCAAATATTGGACAGTTTGGAGCATATATATTACTTATACACATTTTTCTGGTAGACTGTCAGATTTCTCCTTTCTTGCTAATAAGTTAAAGACTGTCTATCTATGGATTGCCTTAGGTGAAACCTCGAATAACCTATTCTGGTGTAATGGTCCATCATGGCAGCACAAAATTTAAATTATGTGGCCGCACATTGTTGCGCTTAACAAAAAAATGATTAATACACAACAACGAAATTTCCTATGTGAATTTGCCGATGTATAAATGAAACATGCAAAACTAAGTTGTTATTGCAGTGTATGACATAAGTGTTTATTACAATTCCTTGATATTCCAAGAGAAATGTTTCATTCTCGCAGGGAAAGCATATCTCTTGCTTTTATGCTTCAATTAATGTATCTGACAACATTTAAGGATCTTGATACACAAGATGTCTTTATCCCAGGATTTGTTGGTTACATAGATAGGGAGTTTGATGAAAAACACGTCATGTTGGAAGTGGACACACCCTATAGTATTTTTTGAATGCACCTTAATTAAACTGACATTTAGCTCCTCATTAGATGAGGGAGCTGTTTGAATATCAAAAAGTTTATCTTTTATTTTTTAACTTCATAACAAATTTTTGACCAGAATATAATCTGAATACAATCTACCTCTAACAACACCTTTGTAAGACAAGCCGTTATTCTGCTAGAATTTTCTGCTTAAACATATCATGATGTTCATGAATCAGCTTTTTTAAGCAAATCCAAATATTGTTTATTATTACTCACGAGTTTGTATTTACCGTTTTGCATTTATTTTTTCATGATCACAATGTGTAATAACTTTCTTGATGCTTCTAACTGATTTTAGGTTCTTCCCTTACCCAACATACCTTTCTTTTGGATTTTGTTCCGTGCATATTCTCATTGGCGAGCTTGTCAGGTGTGTGTGGTGCCCTGAAATGTAATTTAGTTACAGAATTGTTCCTTAATTGTTGGATAAATCTTGATACTACTTTAGGATATATTTGAAATAATTTGTATAATGTAATGGTGTCATATATTTGAAGAAAGATGGCTGTATGCTTTTCTTTTGATTTTTCAGGGTTTGCTGGCCATTTATTTCATGACAAATAATTCTTTGTAAACAGTGTGTTTTAACCTTGATTGTGTTCTCTGATTAGTAAAAGTTCTGCCTTCTGTAATGCGTTATCATGCATTTTATTTTGTGTGGATGCAGTATAATTGTTTCTTAGGAGCCACCTTTCCTAGTACTATTATTGCACAAGTGCTCTTAACATCAAAATTGTTGCATCCACCATCTAGTGCATAATTGTTTCTTAGGAGCCACCTTTCCTAGTACTATTATTGCACAAGTGCTCTTAACATCAAAATTGTTGCATCCACCATCCAGTGCATTATACTTGTTATTAATTTTTTTGCACACCATTGTACGATCTTAAACTTTGATCCCACCTTAAATTGTCCTGGCATTTTTCATTGCACATGGCTTCCCTATGTATGTCTCTAAAACTTGGTTCGCTGGAGAAAAAAGGTATAGGAATTTTGAATACTGAGTTATTCAACTGTTGCTCCATCATGTTTCAATGTTTCCAGTAGACTTACTTGTACTTCGTCCCCATATTAATACATATAAAATAATTCAATCACCACGGATTCTTTTTTTTTTTCTATGTAAATGAGTTTCCAGAGAAATGGATGAATCTCTTTTCTCTGTAAGGATTTCTTTCTAGAATACCAAGTTCAAACTAGATCTTTTGTAACACACAATGTCCAGAATATATTTTCATTCATCGAAAGTTCTGTTCTTCGAATCCACAATGATGATGAGATAGATTTTGATGCGCTCAGCTTTCAAAGAACGTAACTGTTCACTTGGATATCTCTTTAGTGTTATCCAAAGCTCAAAATGAAGATTTCTTTGAGGTCTAGAACTGCTATTTTTATGGTTTTTACCTAATCTGGATGTTTTAGGCTTCAAATCATGGTTTAATTCTGCTTGAGAACATTTCTGACGAATTTTAGTCTTAATTAAGGGCTTAAGTTGAATTCCAGCCCAATTATGGGATCCAATTAGGGTTGTGAGTACTGAGCTTCCTTGTAATTTTGATTTGTCCTTGTTGAATCGGTCTTTTGGGACTTGGTTTTCTTTGGTCTTTTTCTGGAGGATAAGGTTGTTCCCTAAATGAATTAGCAAGTTTTGGGAGTGGATACTTCCAATTGAATAGGAGCTGCAAACCATTTTAAATATGCGTGTATGAGAATTTGGATCCCTTGAGTATTTTGATGTTTCAACTGTCAAACAAAGACAAAATTTGATGCTACTTTCTGCCATGTTCATTGGGGAGTGTTTCAGGGCTGATAATCTGGTTAGTTGGTTTTTATTGTCTCATAAGTGGTTACATGCAATTATTTGAATTTTGAACTTTTTAGTTTTATTCTTGCTATTGTATTATTCTGCATAAAGCATTTATGCTCGTCTATTATTAAAAATAGTTTTAAATGGAATTCAAAATGCCATGGTTTTGTGACCTTTTGTCATTTATATCCTTTTATCCAAATGATTGTTAGATTTTAGCATTTAAGAATCACCCTGCTATTAATATTCTCTTTTAGGGCAGTGAAAGACTACTCTTATTAGCATCTGACTGCTCAACATCATGGGGTTTGCTCCGCACTAATAAGGGGAACCATATGAAGGACAATTCCAGCCATATACCCCTGGATGCACCTTGTCCTTGGGTAAGCATGTATTCTTTGATCAAATCTCTGCATATTGTCAATGGCTTTTTTGATTTTTTTTTGCTTGCTTGCAGTAAATTATAAAGATGTTTGACTAGGATGTATGTCATTCACACGCTGATGTGATCTTCACCAGTTCTCTTCTGTCATTTGAATTAATTTTTATATCCTATACCCTTTCATATGGCCCTGTTATATATCTGTGGTGTCTCCTCATGCAGTAGTCTGTACTGGGGTATGAACCCAGTTAATCGTTATTAGATTTAACTGCTAATACTTCATGAGAGAGGGAGGGAGCTTGTACTGAGGTATGAACCCAATTAATCATTACTAGAGGGGGGGGGCAGGCAGGGAGGGAGTCTGTACTGGGGCATGAACCCAATTAACTATTATTGGAGGGGCGGGAGGCAGGGAGGGAGGTTGCATCAGTGCAAGAGCAGGTGTGGAGTGTGTTTGGTGTGCAGATGTGGTTGCCTGGGTGTGTGTGCTTACTCAAGATGAGAGAGAGAGAGAGAGAGAGAGAGAGAGAGAGAGAGTGTGTGTGTGAGTGTGNGAGAGCGAGTGTGTGTCGTGTCGTGTCGTACTAGTTTACTTAAGTTTTAGGTTTTTTCGGTTTCGTAGTTATTTTAGTTTT